TCTGTATTTACGAAAAACGTTAGCAGCAGGAACAGAGTTATTTGCATTGATGATATTAAATATTCTGGGTTTATGAGTCTTCATGTCCGGAATTTGAACTACAAATGCGCTACTTCTGTCTTCAACATCATCGACTGATATGACCACCAATTCACCAATTCTACATCCTCCAAAAACTCCCACGATAAAAATTACTTTTTGCAGTAAGTATTCATTATCAGAAGCATTATTTAAAAACCTTTCCATTTCTTCGCGTGTGAACACCCTGGATTTCTTTGGTCTGTGCCCGACAGCTGTTGTTTTAGGGAAGCTGACACTTGATGAAATCTATAACAATGAATAGTTTGAACCTCATAAATAATCACTACGATGTCATAAACCTGCTTATACCAATATTTTGGGAATAATTCGACCATAGTCCGTCGAAGATTTAGAATTTTTAGACTGTTCAGAAGTATAAGCTAAAATTATTCTTTCGTCTACTCCTTTCACATGCTTTCGCTTCGATCATTCACAAAAATTCATATACTATGTTTATTCATATTTATTGATGCTTTCCTATGAAAAGGTAGGTTTCAAGTTAACGTTAACATAGCATGCATGTGTTTCTAGTGAGTTTTTCAAATATAATATAACAAGTGGTCTGATTTTTTCCGACAAAATTTGTGACACAAATTAACGAGTAGCTGTTGCGACGAAAATCACACGAGTCGACGAAGGAGACGAGTGTGATTTTCCAAAAGCAACAGCTACGAGTTAATTTTCACACAAATTTTGCTGAAAAAATCAGATCACGGGTTATATTCGGCTTGACAATCCAAAGAGAAAATTTTTATTTACTTTTTACGGACAATAATTCACATGATTTATAGTTAGCGTATTCGTTGAGTAACCATACCTACTTAGTCTAAATAGTAACAAAACAACAAGGCAAAACGTAAATAAACTTCTAAACATCAAATTTTGTGTGTGCTGCTGGTTGATTTTTTTAATTCTGGGAGCAAGATTTGGTAATAAGTCTGTGTATGAAATTCGAAATGCAGTGAAAGAAAGTCAGTGCCGAAAGACCGCAAGAACGCAAGATTCAATTTGGAAGCAGTTTACAGAATTTTGTGAAATACGCAAGTTTCCTCTAAATAAAGCAGTCGAAATGAACGAGGTGGCCAGTATTTTGGAAGATTATGCCTTTAACGCCAACAGAAAAGTAATTTGTATTATCGTTTTTTTATTAAAGTTCATTTGACAAGTTTGACAAATTAATTTGACATAATTTATTTCGCTGAAAAACAGTGTTGTTGCCTGACAGAAGAATGTTTTTTCACTGAAAAAAATTTTCGGTGAATGCCATTGGACAAATTTCAAACAATTCTGCCATTGTATTGGTTAAGAATTTTCGAGTTGGATTGTCCATATAAAATATTTTAATGACGTCATCAACAGTTTAGGACGGACACATATTTTGAATAGGTGCAGGTTAATACTATTAATAGCAGTACTGTATCCTCAAACTTTCAGAAAAATGAGATGGGCAGTAAAACATGTCACCGCATTCATTATTTTTCTTAATCACCTAGTATAAGCAATAAAAAAATATTAATGCATATATAAACCACAAGTATAGACTCTTAATACTGTGTATATTTTAAATTTATTGGGTAAAATGTTGAGATGACGTCATCAACTTATTTCTGGAGGGAATAACGGATATATTTTAATCAACGATTCACCATGCTTACGATAACTGCAAAACGTTAGAGATTTCAGACTCGCTTTTACATGTTCAAAAAAATTATATAAAATTTTGTTTTTTATGTCATTTTAAAAAATTAATTAACATTTACTATTGCTTAAAGAAGACTCGGAATTAGATGTTCAAAAGCAAGAATTTGGAGAAGTAAGTGTTGGTTTGGGTATCTCGAAAAATGCGTTGCAAATTTGTAAGTTTTTTTAATAGAGGTCACGCTCTTTTGATGATAGTGTTAAGTTCTTATCTATTATTACATCATTCACGAACATTTGTTAAATACGATTGTAATGTAGTCGCAATTTTTATGTATTTTTCCATTAAACACGATTGTCTTTCTTTTTTTGTAGGGGTTGTGTATTTTTCTTGTACTCATTAAAATATCATCAAATCGTTTAGTCTGATTTTACGTGACATTCTTTCGATTATAAACAATTAAACATAAATAATAAAACATTTAAGCGTCAGATTGCTATTACCTAGTGTTGAAGGACAAGGGTTGTTAGAGATGGATTATATTAAGTTCAACATGGTGAGTCATCAGAATCTGACAACGGACTGTCAGTCAGTAGAGTAACATGCACACTTGAGAAGGGGGTGGTTTTTAAATTTATTTTTTTAAATCGCAAACCATAACGCACGGCAACATAAACTTAAGTGACTTGGTCAACACGCTAGCACGAATGCGAATAATTCTATTAGGCACTAATCTAAGCAGGTACAGTACCCATTGAAGGTAGAAAAGTTCACTATGACACAGAAACGATGACGGACGTCCCTGAGGCTGCGCCCATTCGAAAATGCTGGATATGTTTCATTGATTTCTGACCTCTGAAAGGCTAGAAAGTCAGCGATTCCACGATACATTTTTCAATGAGTCGGGAAAAGCCTGAAAGCGGGCAGCAATGACGCGTAAGCGGTCAGAAATGACCTACTGTCTACGGTACCCTCGATTTGAACTTTGAATGTCAAATTATCAAATGAAAGTATTTACTGCAATGGCGGCCGCACGACAAATTTTGGTTTGGCAAATTTTTCTGAAAATAGTGATTGTGATACTCTGATAATGATAACGAAGACCAGAGACGTCACCACAGAACAGGACGTCACTATCCACTTCAATACCTCTCATAAATGTCGTATACGCATGCGTCGTTTTAGCGTGGTTTTGAGGAGCTTCGCCCCCGCAGCTAACTTTTGTTACAATTGGAGCTGGGCGGTCGAAATTTATTTACCCCCACTATCGGCCCGCAGTACCTATCGCTACAGCCTTGCCTTGCTCGCTTCTCGCTTTCCAGTTGTGGATTATTTTTGATAATTCACACAAATAGTTTTATTGTCAACGAGACGGATACCTGAACATTATTAGAATTATTATTACTCTTATTTCGTGAACATGGATTTTCAAATCATCAACTGACATGCCGTTAACATTATTTTTCGCGTAATTTTCTTCGCGATACGTAACGTTGGCTGCAAGCCACTGACCTGCCGGAGTAGGGGTCAATTCAAGTGATAGTGAAAATGAAGACCAGAGATTAGTCAGGCAGCCGTTACGGTTCACCAGATTTCGATTGATTTGCTATTGAAATTCGTTAAAAAAGTAAACAAAAAACCGGCACTACTACGAATGAGGTTATGTTGACAATTCAAGGACATAATTGACATATGCCGTTGCTAAAAGTTTTGTGCGACAGTGTGATGATTAATTTTTCTGCAGATTTTCGCAACTCTGGAGGAGTAAACTCTCTTTCACAATTTTATTTGTTAAAAAACTGAGAAAATGCAAATTTGGTTACAGATTTTGTGTGATTTTTGTTAATTAATTTAACAAAATGTCAATCGTCCAGCGCCCACTAAGTGTTAATATCTCACTGAAATAAACCGTACGTATTATTATAGAGGTAGGTTTTTATTATAGTATTGTTGCTTGTATTATTAAATGATTGTGAATAATAGTAATTATATACCAAGGGAGAGAAAACAATTTTTATAGCCGAGCTGAATTATACCCGAGACGCGTAGCGTCGAGGGTAATAATGAAAGCGAGGCTATAAAATGGTTCTCTCCCGTGGTTTATATATTATTTTTTTCACTACTAGCACATTTGTTTAACTTTTCTTTAATGACAATGTATAAAAGTCGGAACGAATTTAAGATATCCATGAAAATCAAATAGCCTGTGAAAACAAATGAATAAAAATGACATTAAACCAAAAATCTTAATAAAGAGCAAAATGTCGACTAGCGACGAAGATACTAGTGTGTGCACCCCGCCAGAAATCCGAAAAGAAGCAAGTAACGTGCAGTGTGATCAATTACTGTCACAAAAATCAAAAGAGTTCTACTTAAAAGTTTACGCACAATTCAAAGATTGGTGCAAAATTAAAAAAGTGGCCAAAGTGTCAGAAAATGTCCTTCTTGTTTATATGGAAGAAAAAGCTAAAAACAAAAAAGCTTCCAATCTATGGGCCACATTTTCTATGTTAAAACAAACTCTTAAATTAAAAGAAAATGTGGATATTTCAAAATATTATAAAGTAATTGCTTTTTTCTACTCATTAAGGTTGAAGTTTGTCATTTTCCCATCGCTGGCAGTGGATGAAATTTCATTTCACCCTCTAGTGGAAAAATACTCGGCCGTCTACGATTTTAACGGGTCGTCCAGCCTGAGCGTTGCGCAGCTAGCGAAACGTGTCGCGTATCGCCTGCACCGACCGCACCGTCCGCTTCGCGCGCTTCGAAAATCATGACGCCTAGGCTGGACGACCCGTTAGTGTTTGACGTTTAATACTGCTAGTTTACACAAGTGAAAACAATGAACATGAGTGAGACTGACGAAGTTTCTGAAGAAATTTTGAATGCTGCCAATGCGGCATTTTCGAATCTGATACAAGTGCAGTTATTGATACAGGAAGCAGCCAACTAAGTTTAAACAAAGATACAAGTTCAAATAATACTTACGATAAAAGTGTAAATATTATTGGTGATAATTGCACAAATTGTTCTATTACAGTTAATGTATTTCAAAAATAAAATACCTACCATAAACAAACATTTATTTCCTAATTTCTTAGAAAAAATAGTATATGCAACTCGCGGATGAAGAAATTTCAACGGCTCGAGTTTCTTTTTCGCACTCGCTCGTTGCACTCGCTCGTGTGAAAAAATCACTCTCGCCGTTGAAATTCAACTTCATCCACTAGTTCCATAATGTACTATTCTCAAACGCAAAAATGATTCCTACACACCCAAAAAGGCGGCTGTTTTTGAGAAGCATCAAATCACAAAATTTATTTTAGAAGCACCTGATGAAATTTTTCTTTCGTCTAAGGTAATTCTGTTAATTGACAATGAGATTTTAAAAAACGCCAAATTACATTTGCTTCCAGGTTATTCTCATTATAGGAATTGCAGGAGCTTGTCGGACAGATGAGCTCTGCAACATGAAAATGACAGATGTAGATACACGAGAGGATATGATAGTCATAAATATCCCTCAAACAAAAACAAAATCTTCTCGAAAATTTGTCATTATGGAGCCCACCTGGATTGATGTGGTTAAAAAATACTTGACAAAAAGGCCGTCTCCTGATATGGCAAGGCTTTTCATTGGGTTTAGAGGTGGAAAACCGACTAGACAAAACATGGGACATAATACGATAAGCAAGACACCTTATAAAATAGCTCAATACCTACAACTGCCAAATGTCGACGAATTTACTGGCCATACATTGAGGCGAACATCAGCGACTATTTTGGCTGATATGGGTGGGGACATATTATCACTCAAACGCCATGGGGGCTGGAAAAGCTCAATGGTTGCTGAAGGGTATGTTGAGGAGTCTCTCACTGACAAAAGAAGAATTGCAAATATAATTCAGGGAACACCTCATCACATTAACCTACCTGCTCCTAGCTCTTCCAATATTTTATGTGAGAGGAGTGAAGAAGTGTGTAGTGAAATGCCATCTACTTCCACACATGCTGCTACAAACAGTGAAATAACTATACCGGTGGAGAACTTTACCTCCAATCGCAATACATCGGGAATCAATATGACGTGCCACAACTGCACAATTAACTATTATTTCAAATAATTATAGTTGAGGTGTTAATCTTTAGTTACTTTGTTGTTAATACTTATTATTCTCAATTTTTTAATAAACATTTGTCTTTCGAATAACACAATATTATTTCTACATTAACATTTTCATTATTTATTATAAAAATACTACTTCTTAACAGATTACACAAATTAGAGGTTAAAAATGTCGCGTGCTCGTAAGAATAACTGCAATAGATTTTTCATGATTGCTCTGGTGGCATTCTTGCTGGAGTGTGGTCCAGGCGGCAAATTTAAGATTTCGCAAGAAATTTCAGCTTCCCAGTTCTACATCATCTGTCATTAATAAACAATGTATAAAATGTGGCAGCTTAATGTCAAGTAAACACCTCAACTACGACATTCTAAGGTAACCATGGCAATACTGTCAATTATTTTCATTATCTACTAGTAGGAGAGAAAAATCCATTATTGGGTAAGGTGGAGAACAGTAATTTCTCAAGCATCAAACACGATATATAATGAAGTCTTCTGAGGCTAGTAGTGAAAAAAATATTTTACAACTTGTTTCAAAATGATTTTCATCTAGTCGCCTATGGTTGCAGATTTTCATCAAGTGAAAGATAGGAGTTGAAGCGATTTCAAAGCTAACTAGATAAAAATCATTTTGAAACACCCTTTACAAAGCCCGGCAAAAGTATCATTCCTGTCTCGAGAACTAGTTCACCTCGAGGCTGCGCCTCTCGATAAACTAGGTATAGTTCTCTCGACAGGAATTAAATACTTTCTTCCTCAGTATGTAATATACCAATAGTTAGGTACTTATTAGTTGCAATTCTTTATATGATATTTTGTCGAATAACCAAGTTTAGTAAATACTAATAATGATGTCATAAACAATAGAGTTAACATTAAGAGAAAACTCTCAAAGTCTGCTTCGCATCCCAGCCACTGTGTAATAATAAAACTGCACTATTTTTTTGATAAACCATCTTGTATACATTTTTCTTAGCAATATATGAGCCATTATCCTTGTATTTCAAAACGATATCACATTCACCTTTGGCAGTAAGTTCTATCAGGATATTCTTTTCTCACTCGATGACTTGAATCGCTCTGCAATACGGACAACTCAGGACGAAAATGGTAATCACGTTTGGGTTTAGATTTATATATTTGATCTTAAAATTTTGTTAGTCAGAAGAATCGTATCTAGAGATGTCAAAATGCTCATCACTTTTTCGAGATCTTCAGCAACTTTACAATGTTAGTACCTACATTTCTGTGAAAATACTTAAATTAAAAAGAATTGACAATGGATCGGTTAAAACAGATGTACAATGTTTGAAAATGAACGCCAGTATGCCATCAGGACCCCAAATATTATTCGTTTAAAGTTTCCTAGTAACAACTGGTAACATCTAATATTTTATTTTCGTCACTTGCATGCAGACTTATTACATTAAACTTCATATGATTTTGGAGAAATTTGACACCATAAAGTCCCTAATGCACTAGAAGGTATGCAAATAATGTTACATAAGGAAATACAGACCTAATTTTGTAGAACAAAAAATTCCAAAGTAGATGGAATGAAAATAAAGACTACATTGGAGTGTGGTACTAATAGCCCGAAGATGTGATATATTTTATCTAAGTGTATTTCTTAACTTATAGGAATTATCGAAAAAGCTGGATTTGTTGGACTATTTCAGGGACGAGGAAAATTCTACCTAATTAATTTTAGACAAAGTTTTGCAACATTATTATTGTGGTGAAAAACGCTGATCTGGCTATCGTTTTCAGTTTTTCATTGTGACTAAATAATCTTCTCTGAGCAGTTACTTATTTAGAAAATAAAATAACTTTTGTTGTTTCTTTATTTTTCTATGGAAGAAAAACCTTACTCTTATTAATAATTATAAATTTGTAAATTTGGCATTTGTAAATTTTTTACACTATATTTGACAGTTTTCAGATCATACAGTATTTATTTTTACGTTGCTAAAAGTCAAAGTTCAACATTCAAACTACTTTTTCACCTTCATAGCGTGCAGCGCATAATGCAAAATGTAGGGATTTTCTATAAAATACCATTTATTAATAAAAGGGTTGTACACCATTCCACTGCTAAAAATCGTATCGCACTCTTCTGCAAAATGCCATAAACTAAAATATGTACTTAACTTTACTGAAACCTGAATACCTTTCTGAAGTAACTGTTTCAGATCGTCGAGGTCGACAAACATATCATAGTGGTGGGTCCCTTCAGGTACCAGTCGAAAAATTTTTTCCGCTACCGTAATGCCAAAAAATCCCGAGATCACAGACTTGCTGTTCGTTGTGACGAACATAGATCCTCCTGGTTTAAGACATTTGACGCAACACTTGATGAATTCACCCTTTTTTTCAACGTGTTCGATAACTTCGGAAGCCACCACGACGTCGTAATTTTCCATATTTTCGTCAACGTATTCTTCAATTGTCGACTGTACATAGTTTAAATTCGAAAGATTCTTTTTTTCTAAACGTGAAATTGCTACATTTAACATGTCGCTGTTGCAGTCCAAACCTACGACATTTCCTCCTAAACGACTCAAAGGCTCTGACAAAAATCCACCTAGAATGCCATATTTCAAAAATTTTTTTACAACAAAATTATAAATATTTTTAATCAACGTATTTACCTCCGCAACCCACGTCTAAAATAGACAATCCGGAAAGTGGAGTACTTTCTGTTATAGCGGGTTTAAAAGCACCGATAGCACCTAAGCGATCTCTAATCCAAGGAATTCGTAATAAATTCATCGCATGAAGAGGTTTTACTGTACCGTTAGGATCCCACCATTTCTCAGACATTTTAGAGAATATTTCTGTTTGTTTTGATTCTAAGGTTCTTCTTGTTGAAAAAGACCTAAAATTAGCTTTGTTAATTCGGAAATAATTTGTGAGGTTATAGTATTTTATAGTTTCGGAAATGTTTCACCCTTAATAACCTGCGTTCATTAATTATTTACTCCCTGGTTTTCATCGATCTATGGGAAACTGATTTACTCATTTTATCCAGTTTTCTTTTTGAGTAAATTAGTACAACACTCAATTAATGGCACCTTATCACACTGATGTATGATTAAGTAATTTATAAAAAAAAACAACACCTTCATTCTTTAATTTTGAAAAGTTCGGAAAATCGTTGAACACATTTGCAAAAAACAATATTTTGAAGGGTTTCTTCTAACAATGTCTACAAATTAGTTAAAAGAGAGACAATATTCTGATAATTTTTTGCTCTTGAGATGATAGTTAATGAAGAATTTTATTTTTAAATATAACTTGAAAAATAAATCAAACGATATTAAATTCTACCCCAAATTGGTGTACACGATTTGGAAAAAATAAATAACACTGTTACTATATCTGTTAAATTACAAAAGCTTAATATTTTTTCAAAAGAGAAACTTGACGAGTCACAAATAAATTAAGGTCGTCGAAAATAGCGAAAAAATTATTATTTTGGGTTTTACATGCTGAAACAACACCACCTACAAAGATATACAATTATTTACATTACGTTTTAATAGTCTCATTGTTGGGCATATGTTTCAGTAGCACGTCCAGTTTTCACCTCAGAAGTTCAAATTAATTTAATCTCACAGCTTAATAAAATAACAAAAATTCTTAAACTTACCGAAATGTTGCTCCAAACTGGGACATATTTACTACAAACAGTTGAGCAGTGAATTAAAACTCGTTATTTGATAATGTCTACAAGTATAATTTTTATGCAGTGTTATTGCATATTTTTGGATAGCGTATATCAATAGCTTGGCCCTGAACTTTCTGTTGTCATGTATTTTATAATATCAGTGCTCTTATTTACCGATAATTTTTTATCCTTAATGTTTATTTTATTATTTTATGTTAAAATTTAACAAAGGCAAATACTGAAAAAACAATTAGACGCTTATACCTCATTATAATCACTTAAAAAAATTAGTCGAACGTTATTTCGACAGAACTTCCCTCGCTCCTGAAGTACAATGAAACATATCTAGAATTTTCGAATGGGCGCAGCCTCAGGGGCGTCAGTCATCGTTTTTGTGTCATAGTGAACTTTTCTACCTGCAATGGGTATCTGTACCTGCTTAGATTAGTGCCTAATAGAATTATTCGCATTCGTACTAGCGTGTTGACCAAGTCACTTAAGTTTATATTTCCGTGCGTTATGTTTGCGATTTAAAAAAATAAATTTAAAAACCACCCCGTTCTGAAGTGTGCATGTTACGCTACTGACTGACAGTCCGTTGTCAGATTCTGATGACTCACCATGTTGAACTTAATATAATCCATCTCTAACAACCCTTGTCCTTCAACACTAGATAATAGCAATCTGACGCCAAATGTTTATTTATTTATGTTTAATTGTTTATACATCGAAAGAATGTCACGTAAAATCAGACTAAAACATTTGATGATATTTTAATGAGTACAAGGAAAATACACAACACCTACAAGAAAAGAAAAACAATCGTGTTTAATGGAAAAATACATAAAAATTGCGACTACGTTACAATCGTATATAACAAATGTTCGTGAATGATGTAATAATAGATAAGAATTTAACACTATCATCAAAAGAGCGTGACCTCTATTAAAAAAACTTACAAATTTTCAACGCATTTTTCGAGATACCCAAACCAACACTCACTTCTCCAAATTCTTGCTTTTGAACATCTAATTCCGAGTCTTCTTTAAGCAGTAGTAAATGTTAATTAATTTTTTAAAATGACATAACACAAAATTTTATATCATTTTTTTGAACATGTAAAAGCGAGTCTGAAATCTCTAACGTTTTACAGTTATCGTAAGCATGGTGAATCGTTGATTAAAATATATCCGTTTATTCCCTCCAGAAATAACTTGATGACGTCATCTCAACAGTTTACCCAATAAATTTAAAATATACACAGTATTAAGAGTCTATACTTGTGGTTTATATATGCATTAATATTTTTTTGAATTGCTTATACTAGGTGATTAAAAAAAATAATGAATGCGGCGACATGTTTTACTGCCCATCCCATTTTCCTGAAAGTTTGAGGATACAGTACTGATATTAATAGTACTACCCTGCACCTATTCAAAATATGTGTCCGTCCTAAAATGTTGATGACGTCATCAAAATATTTTATATGCAAAAACTCACTAGAAACACATGCATGCTATGTTAACTTTAACTTTAAACTTACCTTTTCATAGGAAAGCATCAATAAATATGAATAAACATTCAGATGAAAAGTAGTATATGAATTTTTGTGAATGGTGGAAGCGAAAGCATGTAAAAGGAGTAGACGAAAGAATAATTTTAGCTTATATTTCTGGACAGTCTAAAAATTCTAAATCTTCGACGGACTATGGTCGAATTATTCCCAAAATATTGGTATAAGCAGGTTTATGACATCGTAATGATTATTTATGAGGTTCAAACTATTCATTGTTATATATTTCATCAAGTGTCAGCTTCCCTAAAACAACAGCTGTCGGGCACAGGCCAAAGAAATCCAGGGTGTTCACACGCGAAGAAATGGAAAGGTTTTTAAATAATGCTTCTGATAATGAATACTTACTGCAAAAAGTAATTTTTATCGTTGGAGTTTTTGGAGGATGTAGAATTGGTGAATTGGTGGTCATATCAGTCGATGATGTTGAAAACAGAGGTATAGCGCATTTGTAGTTCAAATTCCGGACATGAAGACTTATAAACCCAGAATATTTAATATCATCAATGCAAATAACTCTGTTCCTGCTGCTAACGTTTTTCGGAAATACAGAATATTCACACAAACGGTTGTTCATCAATTACAAGAACAAAAATGCACGCTACAAACTGTGAGAGTGAGCACTTTTTCAACAATTCCCAGAAAAATTGCACATTTTCTAGCCCTTGAAAATCCAGAAGAATACACGGGTCATAGTTTTAGGCGTTCGAGTGCAGTCTACTAGTAGATTCTGGGGCAGATATAACAGTTGTAAAGAAACACGGTGGCTGGTATTCGAATTGTGATATGGAAGGATACATAGAGGATTCTCTGAATAATAAAAACGAAATTTTGGGAAGAGTCATTGAGTAAACATTAACAAACAAACTTTTAGTTTTAACCACAAACCTTTCTTATTACATAGTTAATTTAACCTTTCAAATCATATTCAGTGCTTTTCATAATTTCCTTCTATTAGATAATAATATTAATATTAATAATAATAATAATCATCTTTATTTCCAACAGGCAAAAAACACCAATTACAGGAAACAATTAGAAAAAAATGAAGCATATAAATGATAATTAAGCAGGAGACTTGAATGCATGTAAGAGTAAGCACATATTAAACATATTAACAATAAATGAATACGAAAATTAGAATCATTACAAATTAAAGAAAACAAAATAATATTTAAATCGCTCAGATTAGAGTCTTCAACTTAAACGAATCTATGAGTAAGTAGATACTCCTATTAAAGATATTAAAAAAAAATAAGAATGAAAATTAGGGTAATTACAAATTAATGAAAATAATATAGTAGACCGTTAAGATCAGAAATTTAAACTTAAATATTTATAGGAGTAACCTCAAACTAAACATATTAATAACAAATAGGGATAATATTAATACAATTACAAGACTAACAACTTTAGAAGTGATTTACATATGTTGAGCTGAATCGAAATTGAAATTACAGTCACTGCTAATTAAGTTGCAATAGTTGCACATAAGCGCAACGGGCGATCTACTTAGAGCATTAGTTTTACAGGGAGGTGCATAAAATAAAGGAATTTGTCTGGAGTTTAATCTAGGGACAACAAAGAAAAACTTGTCAAGGAGGTATGGACAATCTATTCTATTATTTAGTAAATTGTATGAAAATTTAACAACAATAATTATCCTTATATATTCTCCTTATATTTTTTTCTGAAGTTTATGTTAGTTCATTGATATATACCAATATAGCATTACTTTCAGCTAAATACAATGAACTGGTTATTGAAGTAGATGATATTAAACCAAAATTTGTATTGTTGACTGAAACATGGCTATCTGGTGATATGCCGAATGCGTTAGTTTCTTTGTCAAGTTACACCATTTTCAGGAAAAACAGAGTTGGCAGCAGAGGTGGGGGTGTGTGTATTTTCGTTAATAATCAAATTCTGTCCCAATTTGTAGTAACCCCATTAGGTGCTCAAACGCTAGGCATCGAATCGCTGTTCTTGAAAATACAGAGTAGAACGACTATGTTTGTATTAGGAAGCATATACAGACCACCAAATTCACAGCTTGATAATGATGGGTTCACCTTTAAAGTTCTTGGAGTCATAGCAGCCACATACAAAGAGTTGTTCTTATTTGGGGATTTCAATATGCCTGATATTTCATGGTCGACTAATATTCTTAGCTCTTCTAATGCGTCCTCACAGTTAATGGTAGATCTTTTATCAGGCAGTCATCTCAGTCATCTCAGTCAAGTTATAGACAAACCAACTTGATTTAGAGGGAATCGTTAAATTAATCCGACGTAACCGGAATTTGTGGAAAGCATTTAAACGTACAGGAACTGATTTTGACTATGCAGCCCACAGAATGTTCTCAAACAAACTATCCTCGATTATCCGAGAAGCTAGATCAAAGCACGAGTAACGAATTTCCAGTCAGAAGAATCCCAAAGTTTTTTATAAATATATACGGACACGATTAACGGGCCCAGTCAAAACACTTAGGATAAAGGACGAGAAAGGTCATCTTCTTGATAACTATCAGGCTGTTACCAATATGTTTGCTCATAATTTTTCTAAGATTTTTACAATCCAACCATCTATTGGCAATTTAACAATTAACACCACGGCCTGTTCTAATTCTCTTACTTCAATACACTTCTCGGAAAACATCATTCTCCAGAAACTAAATAAGTTGAAGGGGTCCGGATAGCATAACCGTAAATTTACTTAAAAGATGTGCAAATTTTGTGGCTAAGCCTCTGAGTATTCTCTTCCGTCGCTCATTTACTTCAGGTTTAATTCCTTCAGATTGGAAAAATGCATTTGTCAGGCTAGTTTACAAGAAAGGGGATAAATTTGACCCAGGGAATTATCGTCCGGTTAGTCTTACGTCGATTGTTGTTAAAGTGATGGAATCAGTTATATATGTATGACAGCATGATAACATTCATAGAACACAATACAATACCTTTGCAACAACACGGATTTGTTCCTGGAAAATCGACTGTCACTAGCTTACTCTGTTGTCTTTCGGACTGGACAAAACAATTTGATATGGGTCAGTTTTTGGACGTTGTGTACCTGGACTTTTCCAAGGCATTTGATCGGGTTCCTGTTCCTCGTCTTTTGCTCAGACTTGAGCACTGCGGCATTAAAGCTGGTCTTCTAAAGTGGATTGAAGGTTTTCATGTATTTTTTTACTATTTCTTCTTATTTATATTTATATTTAAATCGAATAGTTTCCTAACACTCATTGGATAAATACTTTATTTGTTTATAGGAGGTATCCCGTAAATAAATAAAATAAAAAAATAATAGTAATATCAATCAGTTGAAGCATTGTTTGTTGAAGGTAGGAGGAGGAAGCCAATGCAAGGAAAAAATACACGAAATATATTGGAGAAAACAGAAACATTCATGATGCGATGAAAAATGTAACATCGAAATTGTGGAAACATATATTTTTTAGAACAATTTTTTATACAGATGTTTAATATTCTGGAAGCTATGAA